CAGTAAGTATCTAGCCTAACCCCGAAGAGGTAGTGACTAGGGACCGACATTGACACTTACTAGTGGTCCAGTAAATCAAATATAATAAAGTAGACAAGTATGAAACATGATAAGCAAACAATGAGTACAGATATAGGCAAATAATACGGTCTACAGCTGCACAGTGAACACGAAGTCCTCAATTATCGGATACCTCCTCAAATGGAATACGTAATGGTCAATACCAAATCAACAGTCACATCTCAAGTTAGGAAACTCATGAGTACGCGGACTCCTTATCAAGTATTTCACATGTTTCTGCCGAGGTGAGCACCCCGATCCCATAAGAGTGTGATACATAATCCTACTGAGGCAAACGATCCAATCCCATAAGAATATGATACGTGATACTGCCGAGGCGAACGACCCGATCCCATAAGAGTGTGTTACAATATCCTGCCAAGGCGAACGGTACGATCCCATTAGAATAAGAAGCTTTAAAGGGTCCTTGAGCCCACCCATGAATATACGTGTCAGTTATGAGATTTAAGAAACTTTTCAAAGAATACACACAACGCGGAAGAAATTCGTAAGGGAAGCACAATTTTCCACGGCTAATCAAGTAGCTCATCAAAATATCTAAAATAGCGAGTCCATTACTCTACGCAAGTCGAGTCTCAGGTCTTAATGCGAAATAAAGTAATTAAATAGGCAAGAATAACTCAATCAGTACAATTAAAGCATGACGTGAATCTAAGTCTACCCGAACATAATCAGGAACTCTAGCATACGCACGAAAACTCGTCACCTCATACGTGCATAGCTCCCATGGCATGTATCATGTAATAAGTATATCACCTACGGGGTAAATTCCCCCTCACAAGGTTAGACAGGAGACTTACCTCGCTTCGAAGTTTCATAACCGACCCCAACGCCTCTCTAACACCTCAAATCGATACTCATCAATCCGAAACTAGTTAAACAATGTGCAAACCAATAAAAATATACTCTAATACTCATAATTAATCAATTTATAACAATTCCCAACTTCGCTCGAAAAGTCAACAAAGTCAACCCTCGAGCGCACGTGCCTGGATTCCGAAAATTTTCGAAGACAAACATTACCCATAACACCACGAACTCAAATATATAATTTATTCCTAATTCCATGTCCAATTTCGTGGTCAAAATTCAAAAATACCAATTCTAAGTTTTTCTTCAAAATTCCAAAATTTTCACCAATTTTCATGTTAAAATTCCATATGTGTTCATGAAATATAATCACAAGTGGTTTAGAAACACTTACCCACAAGAGGTGGATGAAATAGCTCTCCAAAATCGCCCCAAAGTCGGCTCCAGGAGAGAAAAATGAGATGAAATAAGCAAATCCCATTTTGGTTAGCATATATTCCGATTAGTCGATTTTCTGCACCTACGGCACTCCATGCGCTTCTGCGACTCTACTGCTGCGGAATATACCTCGCAGATGCGGCTTCCTCTAAGGTGCCAGCTTTCTGCTTCTGCGGACATTCAATCGCAGATGTGCATTCGCTTCTGCGAAAACCACATGCATCTGCAGACTCCCCAACTCGAGAAGCACTCCGCACCTGCGCGCCCATGATCGCACCTGCGGCTCCGCAGGTGTGCTACAACACCCTCACCTGCGATCTTCCAGCCCCAGACCAATTCCGCTTTTGTGCTCCTCCGCCCGCATCTGCGAGCCCGCAGGTGCAGTAAATTCCTCGCACCTGCGAATCCAACCAACCTCAATTCCAACCGCTTCTGTGACCCCTGGTCCGCTTCTGCGGTCTTGCACCTGCGGCCATAACCCGTAGGTGCAATCACACCAGAAGCCTTAAGCTTTAGCAATTCTTTAAGTCTAAACCTCGATCCGATTCCAATCCGATTCGCACCCGAGGTTCCCGGGACCCCATCTAGCCATACCAACAAGTCCTAAAATACGATATAGACTTAGTCGAGGCCTCAAATCACGTCAAACAACATCAAAACTATGAATCGACGGTCAAAACCTTTCTTTAAACTTTCAAACTTCAACGAACGGTCCGATTCATACTTAAAACTTTTCAGAATGACACCAAGCTTTACGCATAAGTCATAAAATCATAATACGAACCTATTACAAGACTCGGAATCCCAAACGAACGTCGATAACACCAAAGTCCACTTCAATTCAAACTTAGGAATTTCTAAAACTTTCAAAATGCCAACTTTCCAGAATAAGCGCCGAAATGCTCCCGGACCACCCGATACTCAACCCGAACATACTCCCAAGTCTAAAATCATCATACGAACCTATTGAAACCTTCAAATTTCATTTCTGAGGTCGTTTACTCAAAAGTCAAACTATAACGACCCGACTGGTCATTTTGAGCAATTACGTCCGGTTTGGCAGTTTGAGGTCACAAGCAGCTTCATATTAGGTGTATTGACTCGCGTGCATGGTTGAATTCAGTTTTCCGGATGATTCGGAGTCGAATTGGAAGAAGGAATCTAGTTTTGGAAGCTTAAGCGGTGACAATTTGACCGGAATTTGACTTTTGAGTAAACGGCTCCGAAATGGGTTTTGGATGATGTCAGCAACTTTGTATGATGATTTTGAACTTAGGAGTGCGTTCGGACTTGGATTTGGAGGCCCGTAGGATAATTTGAGGCATTTCGGCGAAAGTTGGAAAATAGAAAAGTTTGACCCATAGTTGACTTTGGTGATATCCGTGACGGAATGCGATTTCGAGAGTTGGAACAACTCCGTCTTTTCATTTGGGACTTATCTGCAAAATTTGACGTCATTCCGGGTTGGTTTGATAGGTTTCGGCACGAGTTTTGGAAGTTGGAAGATTGGAAAGTTCCTAAGTTTGATTCATGGTGTGATTCAATGTTTCGGCGTTGTTTGATGTGATTTGAGACCTCGAGCGAGTCCGTGTTAGGTTATATGACTTGTTAGTGTGTTTAGATGGGGTCCCGGGGGCTTTGAGTGTGTACCTGGTGGGCTACGGGTCATTTTCCCATTGTTTGAACCTACTTCTGGTGTTCTTCTTCGCGATCGCGAACATCCTTTCGTGTTTGTGATGGGTTGTTGCTGGCTACCTCAAAATCCTTCTTCGCATTCGCGTTTAACACCTCGCGTTCGCGAAGCTCTGTTTTTTCCTTCATCACGTTCGCGTCCCCCTCACGCGTTCGCGTAGTTATGCCGTTCCACTCTTCGCGTTCGCGTACTAGTTCACGCGTTCGCGAAGAGCAGTCTTGGGCCATCAGACTTTCCTTCTTCGCGTTCGCAAGCACATCTGGGCAGCCTTCATCTTTCCTTCTTCGCGAACGCGAGTATCCCTCCGCGTTCTCGATGCTTTGAGACCTGGGCAGAATAAATAGTACTCTATTCTGAGGGTTTGTCATCTTCAACATTTTTGGAGTTCTAGAGCTCGGTTTTGGGCGATTCTTTGTGAATTTTTCAAGCATAACGATTGGGTAAGTGTTCCTCACCTAGAATTGATTATATTACATGATTTTATCTTTATTTTATCATTTAAATTGTATTTTGGGTTGAGGAAAATGTTGGTTTTTGAAGGAAATTTCTAAAATGAAAAATCATGATTTGAGGGACCAAATAGTATCGGAATTTGATAATTTTTGTATAGGTGAACTCGTATCGGAATGGGTATCCGGTTTTGGTAAAATTTGTCGGGTTTCGAGGTGCGGGCCTGGGGGTAAACTTTTGGACCAATTTTTAGAATTTGATAAAAATCTCATGTGTTTCTTAGCTTTATGATCCGGAATAATTTCTTATGTGTTTTATTTGTGCTTTGAAGTTATCTTGGTTAGATTTGAGCCGTCCGGAGGTCTTTTCACCCGAGAAGTTCATTTTAGAGTACCGGACTGTCTTCTTTGAGGTAAGTATCTTGCCTAACCTTGTGTGGGGGACTTCCCCCTTAGGATTTGAGTCCTCTATGCTAATTGTAGTCTGTGCACACGAGGTAACGAGTGCGTGCCCGGTCTTATTTGTGAAAAATTTGCCTTTTAGGGTTCTTAGGTCCTTATGTTCATTAAGTGGGAAGTGTTCTGATATGATTGAGTTTTCTATTTGCTAGTTTCACATCTACATGCTCTATACGATGTTGTTAGCTTTTCTTTACCTCTTACTTGTTATTTGGCCCTTTTTTGCCTTAATTGAAGTGATTGCCCTCCTTATTGTTTGTTATTTCTTAATTGTGAGTTCCTTTATGACTCCGTGCATATATGCTACATGTTCAAATTGTTGTGGTTGCCTCTGTAGTTATCACATGCCTTACCTGTCTTGTTATTTTTTTAAAGGTTGTTGTACTCCTTGATTTTTCGTGATTCTCTTGTTGCTGTGTACTCATACTCTTGGTGGTAGAAATTCTTATAATTTAGCTATTGAATTGTTGTTGTCGATTTAAACTATGTCTGGTGGGATCGGGTTGCACGCCGCAACAGGAGGAATAAGGGTGATATATTGAGGAGAAATAAGGGTGAATTGATATTGACTGGTGGGATCGGGCTGCACGCTGCAACAGGAGGAATAAGGGTGATATATTGAGGAGAAATAAGGGTGAACTGATATTGTCTGGTCGGATAATTAATCCTCGCATAATGGGTCCCATCATAACTTATTTTCAAACCAAACGATCCCTTATAGATGTATAAGTATTGCTACTAATTCTAAAAAATATTTATATATACTTTAGATGAAATTTTTATTACAATTTTAATATTTTCTACATCTAACTCAAAACATTATATACACCATAGCTTAGTTCCCATTTTGTTTATTTGTTGTTTTTCCAGCAAAATTTTATTATTACTACATTAGTTTTGTATTTAGTTTTTTTACGTAATATCGTGTAGGTATTCATTTGTGCAAAAGTATATGAAAAGTTAAAGGCAAAGTTACAAATAAAAAATATAAACGAAAAAAAAAAGCCCAAATCTCTCCATGACCTAAAATATTTAGACTCCCAAACCCATTCCCCAAAAAGAATATCCGCACATCTCCCACTCTAACCCTTTCCCACTCTAAGCAACTATCCCTAAAACCCTCGTTCCTCTTGCTTTGAAAAACGGAAATTGTCAAGGTATGGCCACCCTAATTTTTTTTTGTTTCTCTTCTTATTATTTCTATTTTTGCCATTGCTTTCTTAGGATTCTTGATCGAGAATAGTTCTTTTCAGTTTCATCATTACATTATGGCAGTGAAATGGCAATCCCGACTTTAGCTATATTGATAAGTGCTAAGAATTTAAAAGATTGCCAAATTCAAAGCAATGAATTAGGAATCTATCCTATTATTAATGGAGGGCCTTTTTCGTATATTTTTATTCCTACATATGCCTTTTGTAATCTGTTTAAATTAGTTTGTGTATGGAAATTTGTAGTTGAATCTTAATTCCTGTAGTACTAAGCCTGAACAAGCCTTTTATATTGCCTATATTTGCCTTTTATAATTTGTTTAAATTAGTTTTTCTATTTTCTTCTATATTGTATATTCTTCATTACCTTCATTTGCAGATTGGGGATCTTAAATGGCTTTTTGGGTTGTACCCAGTTTACAGTTATATGCACACACAAAAAACTATACTAATAAATCTTCTCTATTAGAGTATGTACTGTTCACAGTTGTAGTCGCTAATATCTATGTGAATAATTGCAGAAAGCAAATGAGTTGGTGAGGCACAATATTCACCCAAATTTGATGATCAGCTGAGTAGATATAGGGTGAGTATATGCATTCATATGATGTACTACTTACTAAATAAATGGTCATATGGAAATGCATCATCGCTTTCTATATATTTTTATACTTCTTGCGGAAGCTAGCAATGATGCAAATAGGTAAAGAAGAGTTGGTTGTTAAGATATTACCATTCCTTTATTTCTAAAACTTCAATGCAACAATTAGGATAAATCCGTAACTCCTAAATACTTCTAGACACTATCCAATGAATTTGCTGAGATGGTGGAAAAACTTCTCAAATATGACGTATAAATACTCCAACAGCTTATAAGGGTGAAATCATTTGTAGGCATATGCTCCAAATTTATGTTGCGGTATGGTGATTAGGTTCATTCTTTTTAAGTAAACCTGAATTTGTCTTTTCAGGCACTCGTGTTATGGCATCAACGTAGAAACAAACAAGTGTAATAACCATGAGGTATGTATGATACTTCACTCTTTCTCAAAACAAAATCAATTGGATATACTACCTAGTGAAGGATGGAGTGTTTACAAAATTCTTGTTAAAATCTTTAGGACTTCTGAAATTTTATTTAGAATAATAATATTTTACTCTAGTAATGTTTGTTGTTATGAAACGGGTGTGATGTTGAACTACTTTAGCTTGTGCTCTTTTCTTGAGCCGAGAAATATGAGAATATATTTTTTTTGGCAGTTACGAACTTAAGAATTTACAAGACTTCAGACTTGGAAACACCTAGTTATCAGATACAAAGAAGAAATGCAGCTTATGAGGTTGATAGTATTTTCTTATAATGTTGTGCTTCAAACTAAGAACTGCTAAATAAGACTTACGTTTTGAAAGGTTTGTAGTTTTTTGGTATATACATTGCACTAATAATTTTAAGATTTTAAAGAAGCAAGTTGTTGTTTCTGGCAGAATCTTATCCTGCCAAAGGAAATGTTATTTAGTTCAAACGTGATTGACAAGTCCCAACTAATTAATGTACTAAACTTATGGTGTCGATGTCATTTTTTTATATACAGGTTAGAATTTATGACTCCTTCATAGTTGTAGAAACAGAAGGTGGCAGTCCTGCAAGATCAATAGGGTAACATGGCAGTCTTGCTGGATCAGGAGGTGTGGTGTCACCAGGTGAAATAATCGATGGAGTGCTATAAGATCTTATTTTGTTGCGTCCTTCTTCTTGATATCCACAAGAACAACAATTTCTTTCACGCAAATGGTACAAATAAAATCTACTAATGACTTTCAATTCGCCATCAGAACCTGGTATTAGAAAAGCATTGGAGCACTTATGAGTTTTCACTTCTCTTCACTGTCCGTTGATGGTTACCATCCCTATCCAGACTCACATTAGCTAGTTTTCTTAGAACTTTATTATTCGTGTTGTAAAAGAGTTATATACCTGTATGAAATTATTCTTTTTCTTGTAAAACAATATCGTTATGTTTTGAGTATAACAATATTTTAGTATTCTAATTTATCTTGAATGATATTATTGAACCTTTAATTATGTATTCTTACTAATGTATATCATTTATTAAAAAAATTAAAATTATTTTGCTAATTTTTTTAATATATTATGGATTGTTAGCTACAATATATAAATTCTTGTGGCTAAAGCTGATCGTGACAAATTCTTCAGTTTATTGCTACGAAATTATGGAATTCATAGCTAAAAGTATGAATTCTTAGCTACGATATAAAAATTGTTGTGGCAAATACTTTAATGTGTTGCTATGAACTTTTGAATTCATAGCTAATCACAAGTACTATTGCCACGAGAGTAAATTATAAATTTAGCCACGGAAGTTGAGCTTGCGTGGCAAACAAATTAAATTTTTTGCTGCAACATAAAATCTTGTGGCTACAATATGAAGATAGCTTCAAATTTTATTCGTCGTGCAAAAGAATAAAATCACTTGCTACAATTATATTTTTTGTGGCGAGAAATTTTTACCATTGCAGCTACAACATAAAAGAAATTTGTGGCAATAAGTATTATTCCTTAACCACGGATCATGTAAAGTTTGTAGCTAACTTTTAGCTACACTACATTTTGCTATGAATGCTACGGAAAAAAATATTGTGGCTAAAGTGTTTAGCCACGGAAATTTTTATATTTAGCTACAATATATTTCGTAGCTATAGATGCATTATGTTGTAGTGATATTGATATTGTCTGGTGGGATCGGGTTGTGCCCCACAACATATTACCTTTATTATCATGATATTGATATTGTCCGGTGGAATCGGGTTGCACGCTGCAACAGGAGGAATAAGGGTGGATTGATAAGGAGTAATAAGGGTGAATATACACATCTTCTATTTTGGCATCCCCTGTTTTACTGTATTGACTTTAGTTCATTCGTACAAGACTTTGATAATTTGTATTTCTGGTTTCGCTGAGCTTTGAGGATCGAGTTATTGACATCGATTTATTGACTTACCGTCATTTCTTGAGTTCTGTCCCTGATACTGTTATTCTGGTGAATTAATTTTTAAGGTAAATTTACCACGTTGATTCAATTCCTCCTGCCCTGCGGAGTTGTTAGTAATATGGTAGTTTAAAATAAAGGAATTAATATTACACTACCTTGTATGACTTTTAAATTATACCTCGCCGTATATAAATTTCAATAGTACAAATTCTAATAATTGTTATATTCTATTTCAATTGGTTTCTCAATTAAATTTTCTTAACCCGTATGAGGTTGTATTTTACTTAAAAATGAATTTCTATTAAGTTTTAATTTGATAAATCCTATATTAAAGGCAATAGCTTATTCGATGTTGTATTTTTATTTGGAAAAGTTATTTTCTTCACTCAAATGATTTCTAGAAATAACTTCATCTTTTCTCACTAATTTTTCTATTGGTTTAGAAACTGTAATTTACTTTATGTTATATAAATGGGACTCCTTGAACATCTAAATTTGCGTTTTGTTAAGGGCATTATGTAGTGAGTAGCACGTGGTTTTATTGTGCAAAGTGAAAGGGAAATATGTGGGCACAAGGTGCCATGTGCGTTAAAGGTTTGGAAGTTGTGATTTTGAGATGAGGTTCCGAGTACCGGGATGGTTGGAATTCTGTGTATTAGAAATGATGCGATTGGTTGAGTTAATATTGTTTTCTCTTATTTGGTCACATTTTACTGATCTGTATCCCAACTATGTTGGTGTGTAATTACCTGGTTATTTTCGTTATCATCTGTGTTTTTCCCCTTATTGTCTCCATTGTTGTAATTTTATTTCTCCCTGCTATTGGCATTACTTTGTTATCTTTATCCTGTTAATGTATTGTCATATCCTGTTCAGTTTATTAGACCAGTAGGTGTCTTGACTGTTCCTCGTCACTACTCCACCGAGGTTAGTGTTGATACTTGCTGGGCACTGCTGTGGTGTGCTCATACTACACTTCTGTACATTTTTGTACAGATCCAGGTATTTGATCGTTAGTGGCTGTACGGATCATTGTTGTGGAGACTCAAGGTAAACCTGCTGTTGCGTTCGCAGGCCTCATAGTCACCTTCAATTGTATTTATTTCCATTGGTTCCTTTTGTTCTGGAACAATGATGTATTTCTTATGTATAACTACTCCTAGAAAGGCTTATGACTTGTACTACCGATTTTGGGAATTGTAATTGTTCAAAGTTATCTAATGCGAAGTTAGTGAATATTATTTATTATTGTTATTTCTGTTAATTCTAGGCTTACCTAGTTTTAGAGACTAGGTGCCATCACGACTCCTTCGGAGGGATTTTGGGTCGTGACAAGTTGGTATCAAAGCTCTAGGTTCATAGGTGTTACGAGTCATAAGCAAGTTTAGTAGAGTCTTGCGGATTGGTACGGAGACGTCTGTACTTATCTTCGAGAGGCTACAGAACTATTAGGACAATCTCACTTCTTTCATTCCTTATCGTGCGATATTGATTCAGCTCGAAGCATATATCATATATTCCTTTACATCCACTCGTGTATGATATTGCGCTCTCAGTGTTCGCTATGCGCTAGTGGTTCGTGATGCTACATACGGGCTACGAGGGAGTCAGAGATGCTTAGACATTGTCGCAACGTGTTGTCCAGACTGAAGATACAGAGGTATTGAGAGACCATTCAGTTGTTTATATGGAGGTGCAGCGGGTTTTGGCATCTGGTTGATGAGTACGAGCTTGAGAAGGTTTAATTGGTTGACTAGTCGTCGAGATTGTGGCGGGGTCACGAGGTGGATGTTGATTGAGGATAGTTGGTGGTATTGGAGTACCTTGCGATTGGTGTTGTGCGAGCTATGAAGTTTAATTTTGCGGATCATCAAATGTTGTTTTCTATGGCTTCACGGCAAGTGGAGGAGTCCACTAGCGGCGTTCAGATTGCAGAGTCAGATTTACATCAGTTTTGGCCTGAGGTATGTATATATGTAGTATTGGAAAGTTTCTGAAATTTGTATATGACTAAGGTCTGAGATCTTTCATGGGATGATATTGGGTCTTACGGTGTTTCTACGTCATTAATGAATCTACATTTTAGTATCAAGGGGAGTCGGAGAAACAACTTCAGATTCACAGAAGGTCTATTCATCGTGGGCATCGTGGTTGCAATAGAACGGGGGGCTTCAGAGGAAATGCAGTGGTTTATGAGCTTCTGGGCTACGTGGTTCGTGTTAGGATCATCTGTATTTGGGGCTTTGATGAGGATTATTGCATATCGACTATCCGAAGAAATGGGTCAGTTCAGTAATGTTGGATCAATATAGTAATGGAAGTAATTGGTCCTTTTGAATAGGAATTCTCTACTGGCATTTCTGGCAGTACTCTTGGATTGGACGGTTTGGATGACCCAGTTGAGTTGGGAAGATGCAGTCCTGATGGCCTGGTTGCGTGCGGGCGGATCTCGGAGAGTTCTCGATGGTTTTGGAAATGGCTTGAGTCGGCTAGCTACTATGTGCATAAGGAATATATTGTACATTATGGTTTTCTCCCGGATGGGTATCAGAAATTAATAGAGTGTTGGCATTGTTGGATATCATATGTGGATAGCGTGCATTCTAGGAAGAAACCTTGAGTTTTGGGTTGCGGGTGCATGACTAGTGGCACAATGATTTCTGGGTTTTGAGGCTTTTGAGATTTAGATTTTGTTACACGGCCGAAAATTCTATATGGGTGCTTCAATAGAATAATGGGGTGTGAGTGATGTATCAGCCATTTGATTTGCGTAGTTGAGTTCGGGTATGGAAATTTTGGTATTTCTGAGGTTTTGGGGCTAGATGCCTTCATATGCGGACTATTTCCTATTTGCGGATTGTGAAAAAATAACATTGAGGATGGGATAATTAATAGCATGCATTATCGATAGGTTGCTGTGGACTTTTGGAAGAATATTTACCTATTTGGAAATGATCAGGATTTGGGTTGGGGGCTATTTGAAAGCTCAATGAGAATATGTATTTTGTATCAGGTCAAGTTTGGGTGCTCTTATGAGATTGTCATCATGGTAATGCTACAGGGAAGAATGGATATTATTTGTGCCCCTAGCCTGTGTTATGTGCTACTCTCTTATGTTGTGATAGGCTGTGAGGTTGTATGATTATTCTCCACGCATGTTGTAATTCTGTCCAGGCCTTATGACGATGCGGGCGAGATAGCCCTCGTGATGTTGATGTGCTCATTGCACCTTAGTTGTGCTTGGTTTCTTTCATGTTTTATTACTTCTATTAATTTTTCCCACGGTTTTACTTGTGCACCGTGATGTGCTTGATATCAGTATTCATGTGATCAGTGAACCCGAACACTTTGGCTTGATGAGTATTTGGGAGCGGGCTGCACGCCGCAACAGATGTGATATGGGATACCCTTTCCTTGTGTCTATTTGGTGTTTTGGTTTCCCTCTGTGGGATAGATTAATGAAAACTGTACTTTTGTTGTCACACATGTTGTACTTGTTAGATAATCCTCATAGCTTGTTTTCCTTTATTTGTGCTGCATAATTGAGTTATCGTTGGTTTGGTGTACGAGCTGTGTGGTGTAAGAATCCGTGTGGTTCCGTGATGAGTTGTTAGTTGGGCTGCTTGTATTGGCTGAGATGAGGTTCTTAGACCTGAGATTAGCAATATCGTACTGGGGGTGAGGAGTGTTTGGAAGTATGAGGTTGTTTCTGCTAAGATTTGGGCAATGGCCCTTGACGGACGAGAGAGCTTCTTGACTTGTTGACTTCATGGGCGGCTACGAGTTTCCGCATGTTTCTTTATCATGGGCAGCGGAGTTCCGAAACAAGGTTATATTCAATGTGAAGTGTATTACCGGCATCCAGGATGTTATTTGAGCAGCTATGGTGGTCAGAGGTTATTGCTACGGGCATTTGAGTTGTGTGAGACAGCATGTGATTGTATTCTGGATTAGAATCTTGGCTCGATTCAGCTTGTTCAGGTTTATACAGTGTGATGATGTGAGATTCGGATCCTATGATGAATTTCAGATGTTGAGGTTTGGGTTCTGTCCT